ATTTTTTTGCTACAGTGTGACTTGAGACAAGGATTCTGTCTCAGGGTGTTTCACGAAGAAAAGATAAGGCTTGGTGTTAGATTCAGGGTCAGGCTCCAGCCCAGGCTGAGGTCCAAAGGGAGTGGGTGGCTGAATGGCAGATAGCTGAAAGAACACTTGGGGCGGGGCATAGGTAGGTGAAATACCGCTTTATTCAGCAGCAGCTCTCTTACACTGCTCTGTCTCAGCCACTTGCTCTGGTCGCTCCCATGCACAGCTGTGCGGCTGGCTCTCCCTTTAGGGTCAGCAGCTTAACTCTCTCTCTGGGCATTAGTGCTCATGACTGATACTCTGTCTTACAGGAAAATGACATTTGCTATTATGTGATTCAAAGCATACTTGTTCATTATCATATTTTTAGCAGATACATAGCATCCATTTTTAGAACATTCAGGAAAAAAAGTCATGTCTTTGAAGACATGTCTAGGTAACAAAACTCAGGGTAGTCATATAAGAGCTTTCTTTTCTTTTTCTTCTCCCCCTTTACTTTTGGTCCATTATAAGCTAGAATGAAAAGATGTAGTTGACTTCAGAAAGGTGAAGTTCAACCAAGAGGGAGTGTTGCTGTATAACACTGCATTTTCAGTGGGTGCAGGAAGTGTGGTGGTTGGGGGAACGTTTGCCATGGCTATGTGATCTCATGTCAAGGACAGAGTCTGTTATGAACTGTTACCCCCTAAAATTCATATTTTGAAATTGATTCCCCAATGTGATAGTATTTGGAGGTGGAGCCTCTGGGAAGTGATTAGGTTATGAGGGTGGAGCCCTCATGAATGGGATTAGTGCCCTTATAGGAAAAGGCCAGACAGCAAGCACCTCTCTTTTCATCATGTGGGGACACAGCAAGACGTCAGAAGCCTACAGTCTGGAAAAGGACCCTTGCCTGAACCTGACCATGCTGGCACCTGATCTGGGACTTCCAGCCTTGAAACTGTAAGAAATGAATTTTTGTGGTTCATAAGCCACTCAGTTCGCAGTACTTAGAGCAGTATAACTTAATAGTAGCCTGAATGAAGATGGAGATTGTGTTTGAAAGCAGGTAGATGTAGCCAACTGTATATTTCCAATAAAAGGAGTGGTAGTTTGATAAAAGAGAGGAAAATGAAGACTGACTTCATGCACTGAGGTTTGATTTACATTTTGATATCAGAGTTTATTTCCTGCTTTAAATGGAATCATTCATGGCGAAGAGTAAATGAAATTCTGCTTGAATTTTCACAATCAGGATTGGGTGTTTTCTCTAAGACTTAAAAAGGAGCCAAGCTCACTGATACTTCCTGTGCTGTCACCTGAAGCAAAGCAGAGTCTGAAATTCACCCTTAAAGAGACAGAGCAGGGGAGCAGTAGATCTTGTTTCCAATTATAGACTCACTTTTTCCCTTTTCTCTTTCTTAAAAAAAAAAAACACATTTCTCGTTTTCCTTCTTTCTAATTTCCCTCTTTCTCTTAGATGGAGTAAAACACGAACTTCCAGAACTAAGTAATGCAGTGAGCAAAGTGGCTGTATTTCTTTCTACAAATGTGCACTTCCCGTTCATGTTTTGCAGGTCACAGGAAGGCCTGTGTGGCTTCAATCTGCCTGTGTCCCTTCACTGTGGGGTAAACTAACATCAGGCATGGGGGCTGGCCGACGGCCTGCTGCTGACCTTTATTAAAACTTTTGTGTGTCATGTTGTTTGGGCCTCTTTCCTTCCAAGAGCTTCTACTGTAATCCAGCATGGAACCCTTGAAGATGAGCGCCGGTGTCTTGGCACTTGTGCGACTATGTTCTACTCCCATCAGGGGTCCTGTCCCTCAGGCCTTTGATACAATTTCTTACTCACTTCAGAGGAGGATATTCTGGATAGTGCTTTATAAAGCATCTAACACGTAAATAAATTCTTGTTGGGAAGGGAGCCGTGTTTAGGGACTTCATCTGGAATGTGCAAAAAGCAAAACAAAGTAATTTAAAAAGAGTCAGTCAAGCCTTCCTATTTAGAAGAGTAGACCACAAAGTTAGGGCTAGAATCTGGAATAGGGTTGGAGTTGAGAGTGGAAATTGATGTGCATAATTAAGTAACAGGAATTTGCGGGGATTTGGAGTCTTCCTCATGCATTGCATAGGGAAGGTGGAAATTACACGTGTGTGTGTGTGTGTGTATGCGTGTAGAGAATGCAGAGTAGTGCAAAGGAAATAGTGAAATAAAAGAAGAGGGGAAAAAAAAGTCTTGGTAATGAAAGGAAGCCCATCAATTTAAAACTAGAAACTGTAATTCTTGGCAAGGATGGTGGAAGAAAGTCAGGGTCAATGAAGAAAATAGGTGAATGAATTGTGTGTGTGCTATCCACGTGGTGCCATGGTTCACTATCAATATTCAGTAAGTGTCTGGTTTCCAGGAAAGCCTGGTATCAGGGTTGTTCTGAGGAATAAAAGAGAGAGTTTGAGTTGTACACCAAAGGGGCTGAGGTGATGGAAGGCCAGCAGCCTTAGGGAGTGAGAAAACTAGCAAATCCTGGGAGTTGTAAGAAGCAGGAACCTGGAGCCAGGGTGGGGAGGAGAAAGCAAGCCCTTGGAAATCTGGAAGAGATTGGGTTTTCTGGTGTATGTGGAATGGGGACTTAGGCCATTTAAAGTGGATCTAGTAGGAAAGGTTGAGCTCAGAATGCTGGAAGACTTGGGGACATGTGGGTTAAAAGGTTTAGATATGAAGACATTGAGCAGGACTCACAGTTAATAATCATGGCTAACACATGAAGAGTGTTTACTAAATGCTAGGCACAGTTTTAAGACTTCATTAACCTATTTTCTTCAACAACTGATGAAGCGGGTGCCTTTAATATCTACTTGTTAAAATTTTTAAAAATTGCAAATTAGAAAACTGAGGCTCCTGGATGAGGAAATCACTTAAGGTGACAGAGCTGGTTAGTTTGAGTGTTACCATTCAACCCAAGGGTTATGTCTTCTCCTACCTTGTGTCCTGGAACAAGGGACTCCACCCCTTCACAGCCTAGGTTGTCCTTTTCATTAGAATGAAAATCTTGGGCTCATTGATTGATTGATTCATTCACTCATTCATTTAAGGCATTAAATGAGAGTTTAGCATGCTTCAATAAGAGGATTTTCTGCCTGCTTTGGGGTTTGTGGCAGAATGCTGGTGGGAGCCTGGAACTCTGAGAGCTTCCTGATAAACTTTCAACCCTTTATTTCCACAGCATCTGCTACCCCTCACCCCTTCCAACACTCCTTTTGCCCTGCTTGAATCATTGGATCAGCCACCCCAAGTGCCTCAGGTCAGCTCTCAGCCCCAGACTCTGACCCCCACAAATATCTGTAATACAACTTTCTGTTTTTCATCAAATCTTTTCCAATTCCTGTAACTCTTTCCCTGTGATCTCTTCATATGATCGGTCGTCAATACAAAACACCTCTAGCATCTCTCTTTCCTGATGGTTCCCTTTACCTTTGATTCCCTGAAACTTGGCTCTCCCAGAAGGACACTGTCTCCCTCCCAAAATGGGCTCACATGTGGTGAGGGAGGTGTCCTTGTCTCTTCTGGGAGACTCCCAACCTTTTTTTCTTTTCCTTCCAGTATTCTAACTCTCCCACCAGTTCTGCATCCATGGTCCCAGTTTGTACCACCCAACACTTTTCCTTCTTGAAGTCATTTGCTGACTACTAGGTCACTCTCACACTGTTTGAAGTTTTTCGCTCCTGACTTACTATTAATAGGTGAAACATTGCCAGGGCGAGTGGTCTCAGCATCCATTTAGATCCTTTTAACCCTGGGGCCTTCAAATCCCTTGGCCTCCTCTTCTTTTTCTCATCCATGTAAATATTGATTCCCACAATCATATGTACGATTCCATCACTATCAGTGATAACGGCAACTTCTCCATGATCTCCCATTTTAAGCCTCTTTCTCTCTGTCCTTTGCCACCTTTTGGGCTTCTTTCTCTTAGTACCCTTGACTCCAACAATCATTTAACCTCACAGAATCCTGCAATCTACTAAGTCTATTATTTTTTTCCCACCGTCCCTCTCCCATACATCATCATGGCTCTATTCACACAACTGAAATTCCATAGCCTGTCATTTTAACCAGCTAGAATCTGGACTCTGCTGGAGAAAAACATTCTGGTCTTGCTGTAATTCATGATCATTAATTTCAAGTGGACGCTTACAGCAATGCAGCAAACATTTGATAATCTTCTAGTGCATTCTCTGTCCAGCAAACATTTGATAATCTTCTAGTGCATTCTCTGTCCAGCAAGCATTTGGTAATCTTCTAGAGCATTCTCTGTCCCATGCTCCTATGCAGCAGTTTTATTACTCACCTTCATCTCTTTCCTCAAATCTCTGACACCCCCTCTCCCATCTGCAATCTCCACTGGTGATCTTGCTGAGAAAATTGAAGTTTTCAGAGGCAAACCTCTGCAAATTACCACCAACCCATCTACTCACCAGCCTGAACCTGCGTCCTTATGCACTGCTTCCTCTCCTGCCGTGGAGATGAATTGTCTGTGCTCACAGCAAGTGCTGTTCCTGAGTGGCATGTATTACATTCCATGTCCTCTTCCTACCAAAGAACATTGCTCCTGCCATTGGCTGATTGGTTGCTCTCTGACCTCACCATCACTTTTCCTTCTGTGCCTGCTCTTTCCCATGAGGATGCAAATATACATCTTTTCAACACACACACACACACACACACACACACACACACACACACACACCCTCTCTCTTTTCTTCTCCCTTTATTGTTCCATTTATCTCCCTCATTTATACCAAATATCCTCACAAAATCAATTGTCCTCATTCACTGCCTCCATTTCCCCCCGTATGTATATATTTTGAATACACATGTACTTGCAGGATAGTTTCTGTGAGAATTATTTGAGTGGTATAAACAAGAGTCATTTATTTTCCTTTCCACCCTCATCTGCTGTGAGCTGACTGGCTCTTCTTGTTGTTTCTCCTCCAGGGGATGACCCAGAGCACCATTCTTCTCTGGTCTGACACCTTCATCCTCCACTTTCTGCCTCCTTTGCAGTGACCATACAGGTGCAGAGCACAAGCAGGACGCACAGGGGTTTATGTGGTCAGGCCTGCCTGGAGTTGGCACACAGCATTTCTGCTTACATTCTTAGGTCTGAAATCCAGGTCACAGAGCCCTAACATAACTACAAAGGATCCTGAAAAATGTTGTATTCCAGTGTACGTCGGAAAAGAAAATGGGATTGATAAACTTTGATTAGACTAAATCATTGAGATTTAAAAGTTTTTTGTTGAAGCTGCTAGCATTGTTTATCTTGACTAATACAGAAATTGCTATTAGTTTTTGTGTAAAAAATACGTGACACTGGGGAGTTTGAGAGGTGAGAAAAAAAATAGATGCAGCATTCTGGAGAGCTAGAGATCCATGTTATATAGCAGCAATATATTTGGTAAATCCCTGTTTACTAAGATCATAGCTCAAAGGTAAAGTGGGAAACAGAATGTGTGGACTGTGGTGTGTGGAGGCCCTTATTGTCTGCATGTGCAAGACATTAGATATAAAAGATGTGCTCAATATTAACTGCACAATTTGTCAACAAATATATAAAGCAAATAGAGTCTAGAGATATGTGATAGGCTGGGGAAAGCCTGCTTCAGTCTTTAAATAAGATAGAAAATTTAATAAGGCTTTGCGTGAAAACTTCACAGAACGCTTCTCGGTTGAATAGAGAGACTCAGAGCAAAGATCAGATGAAGAATGTAGCCTTCCTATTCAAGCCTGATAACCTGACTGTATCTGTCATAAAGGGGAGAGGAAGACGGAGTGAGGGAGAAAGGGAAGGAGGGAGGGAAGGAGTGGGTGGAGAGACAGAGTTAAGGATTGTGCTGAGAAAGCAAAGAGGTCATATAAGAACTATGTGTCCAGGAATAAACTCTGGGTGTGTTCCTGACTTATGAAACTGACCGGGTGAAGTAAATATGGGCCTCCTTTGTGCTCAGGAAGAAGACATAAGACAAACATCTCAGCCCTGGCACGTTGCTCGAATCAGGCTTTCCTCTACCCCTACGCCCCTGAAGCTACTCTTGTCCAGGCACCCGACATGGGTATGCTGCTACATCAGAAGGTCTGTTCTCAGCCTTCATCCCACTTGGACTCCCAGCAACTTTGAGCAATTGATCACTTTCCTGTTCTTTGAAGTAATTTCTGCCCTTGGGTTCATTCTCTGCTCACTTCCTTCTGTAAGACTCTCCTGGCTTTCTTAGTCTTCCTTACTAGTTTCTCCCCATCTCACTGATCTTTTCTTGTTGGAACCCCAGGGCCCAATTGTTGAACCTCTTCTCTTGCTCTCTACATTCAGTCCCAAGAAGTTCTCATTAAGTCTCATGGAATTAGATACCATCTAGGCACCGGTACTTCCCAAATTCATGTGTCTAGTGTAGATCTCTCTCCTGGCCTTTGGATTCAGATTCGTCTATCCATTGCCTTGTTATTTCACTTGTGTTCGTTATCTCAAGCCTAATGTGCATGCAGTGGAATACCTGATCGTCTGCCCTAATCTTTCATGATTTTCCCCATCCTAGGAAATGGCCATTCCCTTCTTTGAGATACTTAGGGTAATAAGTATCTAAAGTTGACACTTGTAGTCAACTTTACCTCCTGTTTATAACTCATATTCTTCATGCAACCTACTGGCTAATCTCGCTGTCTCTACCTTTAAGATATTCCCAGCACCTGAGCAGTTCTCAATAGCATCGTGGCTACAGCCAGGTCAAGCTGTCCTCATCTCTTACTTGATCACTGTGGGAAACTGATGGCCCTGCTTCTGCGGTGCTGCCTTTTCATCCGCTCTCCACGCAGTTGCCATGGTGATAAGAAATAAGTCAGATCATGTCTCTTCCCTGCTCAGACCTTGTGATGACCCCCTTGCCAAGGCCACACCCAGAGCCCTTTCAATGCCCCATGGCCCTGAGGGCCCTGACTGTCTCCTACCTTTCTGGCCTCTTCGGTTCCCCCTTTCACTGATTCCTGTCTGGCTACCCCGGCCCTCTTGCCAGCCCTTGACTGTCCTACACATGCTCCCACTGCAGGACCTGACCTGCCGTCCCCTTTCCAGATCTTTGCTTCCACGCCTCTTTCACAGGGAGGTCTTTCTTCGGACTCTTGGGTAAGCTGCTTCCCCAGGTCGCTGCACTCCCTACACGCCTTCCTGTGTTACTTTCCTCCAGAACGCTTCCCGGTTTCTACCTTAGCAATAGCTTGCCCACTTATTATACCTGTTGCCTGTCTCTCTCCAGGAAAATAGGGACTTAAAGAGGTAGAGATGTTTGCTTGGTTTATTTCATGTCCTGCCCAAGTGCCCAGAAGAATGCCTGGCACAGACTAGATATTCAATACATATGTGTAGAATATTGAATGAAGGAATAAATTCACACATTTATGTAAACAGTGAAATACATTGAAGGGACAGGTGATCCAGGCTGACGGGAGAAAGAACGCCAAGCTGCCGGGGCAGGCCTGGGCTCTGGGAAGTCAGAGGGGCTCAGGTTGCCAGGCAGCCCCCATGTGCCTTGTCCTGCTGTGAAACTCTCTCCCACGACTGAACTGCCTCTGCCCTGATGCTGAGGCTTCCTGCTCTCTGCAGACCCCATAGCACTGGCATCATCTGGCTGCTTGGCCTGGGGGAAATGAGGAAATATATTGGTTCCCTTGGGGACATGGGCTCATGGTAGAGGGAGATCATCCTCCCTCCCTCTCTCCATCTTCCCTTGTTGCTGTCCATCATTGTCATCTCTTTTTTTTAAATAAAATATTTTAAGTTCTGGGTTACATGTGCAGAATGTGCAGTTTTGTTACATACGTATACATATGCCATGGTGGTTTGCTGCACCCATCAACCCATCACCTGCATTAGGTATTCTCCTAATACTATCCCTCCCCTAGCCCCCCAACCCCGCATAGGCCCTGGTGTGTGATGTTCCCCTCCCCATGTCCATGTGTTCTCATTGATCAACTCCCACTTATGAGTGAGAACATGTGGTGTTTGGTTTTCTGATC